CCTTTATCCTATTTCCGTTATTGAGTCTCATCAATGACAACATCTCAATCCGGACCCACTTTGACAACATTGCCAGGCAGATACTCTCTCCTTTCTTGTTCAACCTGTCATGGCACTGGCGTCCTGGCTGGCTGTGTCCAAGGCGGCTTTTGGGCGGTCAGGCCCGGCAGAACTCGCGTACCCTATTTTAAGGCGCACCTCCTCTTTTCTACTCTTTAGCTTTATTGATTTATCCATATCGACTTCTTTTGGCCCAGCCCTGCCTGTGCTCAGAATCGTGCTGTCACACTGCGGACCTCGTTGACCGCCAAAAACGGGTTTGTCGGCTCCGTACTCGAAGGCGTCTGTCAGGTTGTCTGCGCCGCGTCTGATCCCGTTGGTTAGACCCTGGGCGATGCTGGCCCATTTTTGTTTGAGGTCGTCTGTCTCCCAGAACACGCGAGCGATGCTGGGCGAGAACCAGTTGGGGCGGAGGTCGTAGTAGCCGTTGACGGGTTTCCAGTTGTCGGAGAGGGAGACAGCTGCTGCTTCAAAATCTTTTGAGTGCATTCCTCCTGCATCCGAGTCTGAGCAGTTAGTGAGCGGGGAGACACATGTCAGAAGGTCCGTTGCATAAAAGCGCTTATGCCGTCCACGGCCACTTGGCTGATGTACACGTTATGGTGGTTATCCAAATTGAGACGGAGCGAGAGGTCGGTGCGTGGGAAGCGGGAGAGGCGCGGGTGGAAGGCGATGCTGTCGTTTTGAGCGGCGGTGAGGTTGGAGAGGCCTTGGAGGGTATCCCCGTCAAGGTCGAAAATCCATGATTCGGAATCGCGGACGAATGGCGTGTCTTCTATGGATTCTTCAAAGTAACGCCCGCTGGTTACGTTGGCGGTTGTTATCTGCTTTACGCAGTAGTAGAGAGCGCACTCGATTGCTTCGACTTGGTTGCTTTCTTGGTCCGGGAGCAGCTGTGCGGGATCGGTGCGGTGTCTGATGATGCTTTGAGGCCAGATCAGTGTCTTTGCTTTCTGCTGCCAGTCCAGTCTGTCCTGGGTTATGACTTCGGCTGGATTTGCTGTGCCTTTCATGGTCATAGCACTGGAGTTGCCAAGATACAGGTCATTAGGAAGGCTGTATTGAACGATGGGATCACCGCGCGTAGTAACTACACTCCTTGCGCCTTTGCTATGACTGAGACAGATAATCCAGGTCAGCTTCCCCCATATGTCCGTCACATTGGCGTTGGGTCCTCACCTTAACCCTCGGACGGGAATCACAACTCTATAAGCTCCGTCACCTCAAGGATGACATCTTTGAGTGGGCACTAGACTACAACCAGCAAGCACGGCGAGCACGATTCACGGTATGGGACCCGGAGTATTTCAAGATCCAGTTCAACTTCAACCCAAAGCGGT